TTAAACCACCTTAATTAGTCACCTTAATATTTTTAAAGAGTATTCAATTGCTATTGTAAAAAGCTACAAAACAACAATAAAAGAAACAGCAAGGTTGTTTTAACAATATAAAAGACTTGTGTTAATGTAAAACATTTTCGTGAAGCTTTATTGCTGTTTTATACTGTTTTAGCTGTAACAACATATGATGCGTTTAAAATAAAACAAAGTAAATAAATTGCTCTAATTATATTATAACATTATCGTCATAAAACTTTGAACTTCATATTTGCACAAAAACATGACATAATCAATAGACCAAGATCAAACCAAAAAAAAATTTGATACCAAGTTTTTTACAATTTACTGTTTCTTAATCTGCCGTACTATTAAAAATTTAAGTATAATTAAGTTTTTCATTCAAATGGTTTTTAAATTGACATTTTTTCGTTCAAATTGTTTTGCAATAACAAAATATAACAAAAAAAATTTGGTTTTATAAATCAAATTATATTTCCTTAAGTTTGAGAATATGCTCAAATTGTGTTTTTTTGTTTTAAATTTCTTTGACCAGAAGTAAAATAATTTATAAATTTTAATTTTATTTTTTTATAATTTTACTTTTATTTGAACTTATGCAACCACTGGTTTTATGTTTGCAATAAAATGTTTCTTCTTTTAAAACTATTTTCAGAAACAAAATATAATTAACTATTCAAAACGCTACAATTCAAATAAAACTTTCTTCCTCACTTGCACTATGTTCTGATATTGTTACTTATCTGATATTGTTACTGTAGCTAGATATACATTTAACTTTCAGCAGCAATTCTCGCTGGGTATTATGGACGCCACTGAATTTAATTTATAATAATTGAGCATTAAAATTCTTATAAAAAACTTGTCTTATAAAAAAAATTTCCAATTTTTTTTTTTTTTTTAAATTTCTATCTCAAAATTATTTGAATAAGAGAATTTTAAAAGAATAAATTTTTTTGTTTTAATAGATTTCTTTTTAAATAAAATTCCTATAAAAAACTTGCATATTTAAAGAAAATGTTTGATCTTGATATCACTTTAAATAAAAAAAAATTAAAAAAATAATATCGTATTTTTTATATTCTATTCGAGATTTCTTGTTAAAATAACTTTTAGTTAGAAGCTTATATTATGTGTTAACAACATATAAGATATAAATAGATACACTTATCAAGGTTGCAAAAAAAACGTTTTTTTTTGAAAAAAAAAACCATAGGTTTTTTTAAATTTTATGGTTTTTTTTTCAAAAAAACATTTTTTTGGTTTAAATTAGATTTTTTTTAGTAAAAACCTAATTTAAACCAAAAAAATGTTTTTTTTTGGTTTAAATTAGGTTTTTACTAAAAAATGCCGTATTTAGTTATCGTTTCAAATTCAAAAAAGCATAACATTTTTATTTGAGTAAACTATATTCTTTATCAATATTACTGTTATATTTTATCAAAATTATTCAATATATCATTGTTTATTGTTCTATATATAAATAGAAGCTTTGCTGCTTTTTCTAGCCCTAATTGGTTTCTTAACTTAGAATGAACAAGACCAAAAGTTTAAAAAAATTCTTTTCATTCCAGCACCAGAAGCTGGTGCATTTAATAAACCTTCAATATCCATTATGTTATAATCCACAATTTTTAGAGATTTCTATCATTCTATTGATGATACATTTTTAAAACAGATTCACTATACAAATAGCTTTTATGGAATGGAGTAGATTTGGCTTTTAATTTGAAATTATTGGTAACAAATTCTTGAACTCTTTATCTGCAAAATTCATAGTAGCTTCATTTTCATTTTCAGAAAGATTAGATCAAAAATATCTAGGATCTAGTGTGTTTGCCAGGAAATGAGCATCACTGACAGTCTGAAGGTATCTAGATTCATTTTTTTTTTTTCCTTTGATAAAAATGATAAACTGTTCATCAAATATTTAAAAATTTCATTAATGTCACTTATTTTTGTTTGATCTCTTTGCAACTTATCTAGAGCTACTGCAATTGGTTTTAATATTTTCAATAAATCTTCTGTGTTTCACTTTATCTGTATATCACTTACTTTTTTATCAATCATGGGATCCAAGTCTTTATTTTTTTCAAACATTGTGAAAATGATGCTCCAGTTGTTGATATATTTTTCAAGTGAATCACATACAAAATTCCAGCGAGTTTCAGTAGAAAATGGAAATTTTGTTCCTCCTCTTAATTTATAAATTGCTCCAGCTTGAAGATTATTTCTTATATATTTTATTATTTATTTAACATGCTTGCTCACATTTTCAATGTTAAGATCACTTGCTAAAAGATTCATCATATGAGCAACACACCCATAAGTTATGATAATATCTCTTTCAGATGACAATACTTGTCTCATTGATTTCATATTAGCTGCATTGACAATCACAAAGCTTTTTACTGTGCATCTAAATTTACATCTAACAGAATCTATTGCTTCTCTTGCTGATTGTGTAAGATATTCACCAGTATGTGAATGATCAGAAGTGTTGATTATTTCTACCAAAATGTTAATTTTATCTGTAATTACAGAGATACAAGCTATAGGTTCATTATGTACATTACTCCAGCCATCTAAAAACATGGCAACAATTTTCCCATTCAATACATTACATTTTTCAATTTCTTCTATGTAAACCCTATCTAATATTTCTCCTCCAATTTGAGTTCTATTAGGTAGAGTGTATCCTGGATGAAGCATATTGATAAATTTTTTAAATTCTTTGTGTTTAACTGTTCTGAAGCTAGAGTTTGTACTGTATATTAATCTACCAAGTTGAAGATTAAATAAATCTTTCTCTTTGAGGATTGTTCATGTGAAAAACTTGTAAATTTTTAAATATTTATTAACTGATGTTGATTTGGGCTGAGACCTTTTCATTTGTTGTTGTGATGTTAATAGTGAATGACCTTTAAAATGAACTTGCAGTTTATTGAATTATTCTAAGTTAATATGTCTATACGTGATAGTAATTTAAATATATATATTTACAGTTTAGGCAAAGTATAAGATTTTAAATGACAATGTAGTAACTTAATTACCTTCAAAAGGTTGTTGATCTTCAATTGACTCCATAATTTCATAGGGTTGTGATTGCTTGTACTTTTTTGTATGTTCATGCATCACTTGAACTTGACCTTCCATTTCTTTTCTACACGCTGCTCTACACCTCTTTCTTTCTGGAACAGTCACTTCTACAAACTGCTCTACACCTCTTTCTTTCTGGAACTGTCACTTAGTTTATTTTAATCAAATCATATCACACTTGTGCCCAGTTTTTTGAGACATTTTTGTGGTATCAATAAATTATGTTAGAACTACTTATACTTTTGCGAAACATATAAATCTATATATATATATATATATATATATATATATATATATATATATATATATATATATATATATATATATATATATATATATATATATATATATATATATATATATATATATATATATATATATATATATATATATATATATATATATATGTATATATATATATATATATATATATATATGTATATATATATATATATATATATATATATATATATATATATATATATATATATATATATATATACATATATATGTCGTTAAGAAAACTTCCTGATGAAATAAGTTCATCAGGAAGCAATACTTCTTGATAAAACTATTGAAGGAGAAACAGCCTGTAGGAGGAAACAGATAAATAAGTGTTATTACTAATTTATTACTGCTCTGTTCTGTAAGAACACTGATGACTCTATTCTATAAAAAAACAAAAACAAAAATATTGGATTTAAAAAAATATATCTATATTGAAGATTAGTTAGTTTGTTAACTGTTTTTGTTTCCTGTTTTAAATTTAAATCTTTTTAAAAAAACATTAGTTTGGTTTAAACCAACATTTTTTCAATTGGTTTAAACCATGGTTTAAACCAATGGTTTAAACCACTTGGTTAAAACCATGCAATCCTGACATTTATATAGCTAACTTTTGCAAGTTTATTAAGTAAATTTAATAGTTAAGTAACTGTAAGTTACTTTAGTAAATTAACTGGTTGTTTTGACTTAGTTTATAGGTAAATTTATTGTGATGTACTTTATTCATCCAGTAAATCATACTAATTATAACTTTAAAACAATATTCCATGCAGAGATTTAAAGTAATTTAAATTCAAAAGTGATTCATGTTGAATAAAATCTCCGCGCAAGAGAGCAAATTAAATACTTCCTCAAAAAATAAATTTAGCGTTTAAAAAAAAAAATTAAGTATTAAACACACCAAATTTTTTCAAAAGCACAGAATATTACTGAATTTTTTTGAAATGGACTACATTTGCTCTATTTCAAACAGCATCCAACAGCATGCAACACCGTAAAATTATATTACCATAATTAAACCATAAAAATGCTCAATACCTGACACAGCTTTATAGCTTCAAATATATTTATCCACATAACCTGACGCAGCTTTATAGCATTTTAAATATATTTATACACATTCCCTGACACAGCTTTAGACCTTTTCGAATATATTTACACATATTACCTGACGCAGCTTTATAGTTTCTCAAATATATTTATTCACATAACCTGATTTAGCTTTATATCTTCTCAATTATATTTATCCACATTACCTGACACACAAAACGATATATGAAAAGTTATTTTATTCTAAGTGCATTAACTTTAGGTGTAAAAATTAGAGCAATACTAAACTCATAGTAAACTATATTGACAACTGATGAAAAAAAACTAAATTAGAAATAGAATATATAAACATGGTAATATCAGCAAAACATAACTTTAAAAATTTTATAAAAGATAAAAAATGTGCAAAGAAGAACAATGGATATATTAATTTATGATATAAAAAATATGACCTATACATACTTTTGTGTATTCAGAATGACAGACCAATAAAAACTAATTTTTTTAACTAAAAAAAAATCTAATAAAAAAAAAAATAAAAAATCTACCTCATAGAAAAAAAAAACTGCAGCAGCAATGATAATAATTTCCAAAATAATTTTCCAACCTTTCACTTTAAGAGGCTTGTAATAAATTCCTGATGGATCAAACAAGTAAGCTAATACCATCCAACATGAAAGGTAAATAAATAATATAAACAACTGGCGAAGAGTAATGAAACGACCTAGTTTTTTCCATTTAACTTCAAGCATTGTTTGAATCACTGGATGCATAATAAGATCATACTCATCATAAATAGTAATCATCTAAAAGATAAATTATACAAATGTTATATACATTAATCATATGTGAATCAGAAATTTTAACATTGATTCTCACATCAAGTTGCCTATATATTTTCTAATTGAATCAAATCTCGAATCTCAAAAAAGTTTAGTTTTATAACTATTTCTTTTTTGAGATCTATTTTTTTTTTTTTTTTTTATAAACAACATATTGTTAAATAAATTTTTTTCAAAACTTTTCAAAAGATTTATTATAATTTGGAAAATCAAAAATTTAAATTCAATTTTAAAAGATTGTAAAATGGTTTTGCAATTTTTCTTAAAGAAATAATTTTTTTTTCAATATTTGTATATTAATTCATTGCGTAAAAACGGTAACTGATAAAAATTATCTTTAAACTGTTTATGATCTTTACTCAAAAAGTTCATTAAATACATGAAAAAAAAAAAATTAAAATGTGAGTAGGCAAACAAAAAATTGTTATGTTATGTATAAGATTGTTTTAAGAAATAATTAATAAGATACACAATGTTTTTCAAATACAGAAATTAGGTTTCATTAGCTAATTTTGTTATAGTTATATTGTTAAAATATGCTAAAAATATAAAGATATAATTTTTAATGAATTGTTTTATTGGATGCTCTTACTGTATTCGATAAAACAATTCATTAAAAATTTTATGTTGCTATATATAGATTGCTCTGGAAAACCAGAACAGCAAAGTAATAGAAATGGTGACAAAATAACATAATGTAAACAAAGTTGTATTGCAAAACTAAATATATAAAATTCCATTTATAAACACACAAAAAAAATGGTTTCATAAAAGTAGCTAAATGAAAAACATACCAAATAGAAACTATACCTCTAGTGGAACTTTTGTAAAATTACCAACTTTTGAATTAGGATTTTTTTCCAAATAACTTAAATAAACTTCATTTCTTCCCAATGATATATTTGCAACTTTAAACTGATTAAGGGCTTGATAAGCTACATCTGGCATTTTTTCTATTAAATAAGATAAGCAGAAATTGCCATCATTGTCATACACCCCAATAGGAGCTTCAAGGTCTAACAAAAGTTGTGCAGTTTTAGAAGAACCTGAAATAATAAAAACAAATTATATAAGTCTCAAAAATATAACTTTTTAACAGAACCAAAAGGTTTGAAACCTATCCTGGTTATATACCTTGAATAAAAAAAATGCAAAATATTTAGGTCTCAAAACCTTCAGGAAGTGTTGTAGATTTTCTAATATTTTGTTTTATGAAGTGTTAGTTGTAGATCAAAATGTCTAATATTTAAATAATAAAACAATCTGAAGAAAAAACAGCTTATTTTGGTTCAAAATACGTTTTATTTAAGTAGAGTTAAAAAATATTTTACATTTAATGTAAAATATTGTTTGCTTGGAGTTATGTTGTTCAAATTGATTTTTTATTATTCTATCCACTATGTTTCTATTTTCTTTAGCAACATCCATGTTTTGTCTCTGTTTTTCAATAAAACTGTCTACCAGGAAATCTTGCACTATACAAATATTTCTTTCAGAGCAGTTGCTTGTACACTGAATATCTGAAACAAAATCTTTATAAAACTTGAAGTTGGGATAAAAATCTACAAACTTTCCATCAGAATCCAAAACAATATATCTTGTATATTAAGATGGAATATGAAAAAAATATAACAGCTTTTTTTTCCAACAAACTTGTGCAAATGAGTTTTCTTGTTGATGATAGTGTCATCTCTAATCTCTAGTTTCTTTATTTCAAAATAAGAAATATCCTCTGGATAGGAGATTATAAGTTATGCACACAAGCTAGATAAGTTTTTGTATCATTAGGAATTAGAAAAACAGCCAAGTTTTAGCCAAGTACCATGCCTAACTAAGATCATGATATGGTGCCATTAAGATAATTAGATTCCTGGATTATTATAGATGACTTCAGAAATCAAGGAATTTAAAATATTACTACAAAAGGTGCAATTTATTGACATATGTTTTCTACACTGACATAAATTTCAGCTTCTTATAAGTTGAAGCATCATTAAATATATCCCATTTGCCTTAGATCTAGCATTATGACAAGCAGGGGGTTGATGAAGGTAGAAGTTTGTAACTTTGTTACCCATATAGAAAGAACCTAATTCACATTATCTTTTATCGTCTGTTCTAATTTTGGGAAAAGTTTTCAGGGTAACAACCCTTGGAATAAGGGTTGGCATTTGGCCAACCTAACTGCCAACGTGAAAGTGTTTAAAGTCGGCATAAAATTACCGAACTTGATTTTATGTTTTATGGTCAGACCTTTGTATCAAATAATTTTTTCTGACTTCAAAAACATTAAGGTCGTCGAAAAATTGTCGACATCACTTTTCCTAATTCTGAGGGTTGGGGTAATGGCGTTTCCTGAGTATTCTTTGCACTATCTGATACATATTTTTAAAAATGTAGAAGTCTGTGTAATGAGTTAATCTCATTGCATACCTGAAAACTTTTAACAACATACCTATACAAGTTCAATTCCACTATTATGTGTACCAGTGTTTGAAGCAGTTGTGTTAGTACAAACAGCAAATATGTTGATTTTAGTTTTAAAATCTTATAATTTTTTTTTTATTTGTTTTGCTTGATTTTCGCCTTTAGATAAATGAAACGCCTGGAAAACTCTTAGCAGAATATCACTAGGTTTATGTTCAGGAGTTGTAACGCTTACTTCCTTTCCAGGAAAGAGCTTCTTACCGATAAAATAATTTTTATAACTATTTCTAATTTCTTCTTATTTGTTTTTGATGGAATGAAATCTTTTTCTGTGGGTTCCTGATTTTGATAAAACTTTTTCATTATGCCCTGCATGCCTCAGAACTGAAGAAAGAAATGCTGTATGACCTCTTACACTTAAATAAAATCTTGTAGCAACTTTACTTATAGCTTTTATTAATCTTCTGATATTGACAGGTACAGCTCATCAGATCCTTTTTTTTTTCTCTTGGTAATGGTACAAGAAATTTTTTTTCACTAGATACATCGAAAATTTATTTATTAGATGAATTTGACTCAAAATATATTAATTCTGTATCAGAATCAAAGACAACATGATTTTCGAAAAAATTTTATCCTCTATGATTTTTCTTTATGTTCAATTTTTTTTTGGCAAATCATGTCAATATCCTCAGATATATTCATTTTTCTAGTCGACTTTTGGTCAGATAAGAATTCAATGTCCTCTTTAATGGCATCAGGGGGTCATTGCAATAAGCTTTGATTTTTATTACAATATTTTGGCAACCTTTGTCAGAAAGTTCATTTGAAGTTTTTTTATATTAGGTTTCGAGAATCAAAATATTTTCTTTTGAAGAGAAGTTGAGAAGTTGAAAAAAATAATTTACACAACAACTTTAAAAGAGGTTAATGGTTAAAATAAAAAAAATAATTACTTAATGTAAACTACTGTTCAATCAGTCTTCTCTATATTATTAGAAAGATCTTTGAGTCTTTGATCAACAAATTTCTAATATCTTATTTTGAGTCTAATAATTTACTTTTTGACAGTCAATATGGTTTCAATCTCAATGTTTTATGGCTGACTTATTAATTGCTGTGACTGAAATATCACAGCAGTTAGCTAACTGCTGTAGCTGCCTCTATCTATCACGAATGATAGATAAAAACAGCATGGCATTAATAAATGCTTCATTCACTGACAACTCAACTTTATACTTTTGTCTTGATAAAAAAATTTTTTTTTTCTATTTCTTAGAATTGACAACCAATTAGAAATCTGATATCACTTCTATAACACCTTGAGGCTTGCAGTAACTTGTGAATTTTAAACTCAGTTATTTACTGCAGACAACATCACATTGCTGTCAACGTTCCTTTAATAATGAATAGCAACTCTCTTACTGAGTCCTCTTTTTTATGTCTTCTTGGATTATCTATCACTACTAACCTTTCATGGAAAACTTGAATGCAATAAATTCCAAAGTTAGCATCTGCAAAGGTTGCTTATTTTTATCGTGGCATTATCTTACTCCTGATTCCACTTTCTACCTTTATAAATCTCTTTTTCATTACTGAATGGAAAAGTATTTATATTTATTATATTTTTTTATCTGCTTTTATATTTAATGCTCTTTCTCCAGGGTGGCCACCTAAATTTCAAAATGAAATTCCATGACTTTTCCATGACTCTTCATAAACTTTTATGATAAACCACTAGAGTAAAATATTCAGTACCTGCCATGCACTAAGCATTTGCAACTTGGTCATTATAAAACATGCAAACCAAAAACTAATTGGTAGAAAGATCTGAAGTCAGGTTTAAAAAAAACTCTTTCTTTTACTTCTCTGATAACTTACACTGCAAAAATATCTTTTTCGAAAAAGACTTAGACTAGACATACTAGTACTTTTCTTTGCATCCTAAAAATATCGCAAGAAGAAAAAAGATAATTTTAAAAAGTTCCATGAATTTTCCATGACTTTCAATGAAAATTTAGAAATTCCATAATTTTTTCCATGACCAAATAAAATTCTATGAGATATCCATGATTTCCATGACCAGTGGCCACCCTTTTCTATTCTAGACAAAGTTTAAAAAAATATATTGACCTTAGGCGCGGTGCTTGTTCATCTGCGAGTTACTTTGTACGCGTAGTTTGTGTTTAGTAACTAGAAACTTCTTATATGTTTGTTACGTAATTAGTTTTATTAACTATAACGATTATAACTTCATTGAAAACGCAATTATTTTTGTAAGTCTTTGTTTAAATCGTAAAAATTGCTTTAAAAGATACATTACAATAAAAAACAGATAAACAAAATTAAATTTACATAAAGAATACATACTTTTTAAATAAAAAAATAAGAATATACTAATAAAATCTATAATTTATAATAAACTTTTAACATTTTGACAATTTAATATATATTTAAAACTTTTATTTTTGTAAACAAATAATAGATTTTAAATATAAAAGAATAAATGTTATTCTTAAAACAATTTATGCTAGAAAGCTCAAAACGTTCTAAAACATTTTTTAAAACATTTCAACAGAATACTCTTGAACTTTATTTTGCTAAGTCAGCGTATTTATTGAACCAATAGAATTAGTTTCTTCGTTAATTTGGCGGGTTTTTAGTGTTTGCGAATATTCTTTTTATTCTTTCGCACAAAGATATTTTGGGAACATTCAAGTTTATTATGTTTCCATGTATGTCCGTAAAACAAAAATTTTTTGTTTCGTACATCAACTTAAATGTTCTCAAAACGACTAAAAAAGCTGGCCAGTTTTTCGCAACTAAATATAATTTCTGTGGTCAGTATTCGAGAGCGATCGCTCCCGCTTTTTGACCAAGCCTGTAGCTCTATATTTTGTTTTTTATTAACTACTAACTGAATATTGGTTGCTTGCAGTCTTGTTGGGAGTGAATTAGATTTAAAAAAAAGAAAGAAAAGACTTTAAACAACGATTGCGTTTTTAATATTTTTTTTAATACTCATAATTAATAAAAATAATAACCAAGTAAAATAAATCTATTATTATATTAACCCAAGAAGCATTAATTTTATTAGAAACAAAGGCTGGTTGAACTATCATGTTGAAAAAAAAACATATAATAATAATAAATATATACACATACATATATACATGTATATACATATATATATATATATATATACATATATATACATATATATATATATATATATATATATATATATATATATATATATATATATATATATATATATATATATATATATATATATATATATATATATATATATATATATATATATATGTATGTATATATATATATATATATATAATATATATATATATATATATATATATATATATATATATATATATATATATATATATATATATATATATATATATATTATGTCGTCATTAAAATAATATATATATTATTTTAATGACGACATCTTGTATGAGAGTTGAATAAATTTAATATACGAATGTATAAATACGAATTCTCTCAATACTAACTTTTTTATTTAATCTAAGAAATTTTCGCTAGATCATTGATACTAGCATCTTCAGCTTTAATTAAAAATTTTTAATTAAAGCTGAAGATTCTAGTATCAATAATCTAGCAAAAATTTCTTAGATTAAATAAAAAAATTAGTATTGAGAGAATTTGTATTTATTGATGCTCATGTATTTAATACATATATATATATATATATATATATATATATATATATATATATATATATATATATATATATATATATATATATATATATATATATATATATATATATATATATATATATATATATATATTTTAAAAGCCATAATCAAGTTGTTGAAACAACATGTTAGTCATGGGTAGGCTTTGTTTTTAAGCATTACGCAGAGCACAACTTACATGCGCATTAAGCAATTTTACGACATTTATGACATTACTTAAGCAGTGAAGTGAACTATTTATTTCTCTTTCTATCTTTAAATATTTAAACTAATATAAAGATATCTATATCAGTAAAAACAAAAATAATCTAAAATGTAAAAACCACTTAAACATTTGAACGATGATTATCTAAACAGTTTGTTACAATAGTTTGAATGACAATTATGCTTGATATACAAATATATAAAAAAAATTAGATAAAATTAAAAACAAAGAAAACTTCATTTTTATTTCAATATTATTCAAAAGTACTTTTTAATATTATTTAAAAACATTTCTTTTGGTGTTTTTAAGCTGCTTCATAAATTAGCAGAAAACATACATTAAACTTTTTTTCAAAAGGCAAGCACAACTATATATAGTTTTTCATAAATGGTATTTGGAAACCTTAAACAATCTTTGCTTTCACAGCAAATTGCTAGTAAAGTAATTAAATAGAGTTTTTATTTTTGCTTAAAGTTATACTTTTTATTTGTTATTTTTAAAAGTAAAAAATAAATACTAGTTATAAAGCCATAACTACAAATTTAAGAAATAAAAATAAAAATTAACATATTTTTATTAATATATACAAATATCAAAAATGAAAAAGAATAAAAAATCAGTTTATATAAAATATTTTTTAAATGTCATATTGAATTTAGTTATTTAATATTTAAAAAAATATTTCATAATATATTTACAAAATAACATTTCTACATTTCATTTTTTTAATTGAACTTGTTTTAAAGTAATATAATAGAATAGTTTAAAAAAGTTAATTTCCGAAAAAAAAATTAAGGTTTTATGACATCAAATTCACATAAGGCTAATAATTTAAACATTTTTTATTTAAGACAAGGCCTAATGCATGTTCGCAATATCACACATATCGGCCTAGATCACACGTTATTCTCGATCAAGCTGAAACTTTTGTATCAAGACAACTTTTTCAGACAATATTTTAATATTTAAGTTCTTTCTGTAATATCCAGAACTAGCAGAAGAAAAAATAAAACAAATACTTAAATAACTTTACATCTTTTCAACAGCAGGGGCAGATCAAGGGTGTATCCTGATATACCCAAGATTCACCCATAATGTTTAAATAATTTATAATAAAATCTTTTGAACAACTTCAAAAATTTGAACTTATAGTATAGTATACAAGTATATATATAGAGACATATAAGTAAAATATATGTGGCTTTGATACCATGAGGAATTTAAGCAAAACAATAAAAATTTTAGCTACCCTCCGCTATGCTCAAAAAACCACTTTGACGCATATATCAGTATTAATTATCTAAAGTAAACAAAACTAAAAGAAAGCTTTTGTTTAAACATTTTTAGAATGAGTTTGTTTTGTTAACCGTAAATAAGGTCAAAAATAATTGTTTCAGGATTCATTTAACCTGATTCTCCGAAAGACAGCAAATAAAATTTGTAGGAACGTTTGATCCATCTATATATAAAAGTGAATCCGTAATTATTCCAATAAGGCCTTAATTATTTTCAAAAAGCCTTAATAATTTGGAAAAAGCTTTAATTATTTAAATAATTTAATATAATGTCATAAATTGCACATCTTGCATAATTGAAAACTAAATATAATTGCATAAACTGTATAATTTGTATAAAACACTTAATTTGCATAGAAAAACAACCTAAATCTTATTAAAAAATTTATTTAGCTAAATATAGATTTAATTAGTGTTAAAAATACTTACCGTATTCCGCAGCCAAGAATAATGGCGTTTTACCCTCAGAATCCTTTAAGAAAAAACTTCCATGTTTCCGCAATAAAACAGTGAGTGTTTCAACTGAGTTATACTTTGCAGCAAAATGTGTTGGTGATTGCTTTTCATTTTCTGTTAATAGCTCTATATCAGCTATAACAATAATAAAATTAATAGATAGAAAATATATTTATAAAAAAATAAAAAATAAATATGAGTTTCAAAGCCATAGTTACAAATTTAAGAAATAAAAATAAAAAAATTAACATATTTTTATTTATTTATACAAATGTCAAGCTATATCAGCTATAACAAAATAAAATTACCGGATGGAAAATATATTTTTTAATTGATATAGTTTAATAAAAATGGTCAAAAAAAAAAAAAATTGTAAATAATTTAAATAAACTTTTTATGATTATTTGCATTGTAGCAAAAATGGAAGTTCACTGAAGTTTGAGTAGATAGTCCATGTTTTTACAAATAGACCACACTACAAACCACTAATACTTTTATATATGATAAGTTTAAACTGATTCTGAGTGAGGAAATTTTAAGCACATAAAACACCAGGAAACTGTAAAAACATTTCACAAGAGAATGATTTATTAGGTCAAAAGTTAACAACAATAATTTTTGATATTCTTCTTTAAATAGATGTTTTTATTTTCAACACCTTGAATGCCATTAATCGCTGCAACCACAACCACTGTAAGATATGTATCATTGCAACCAACATAACTGTGTGATAAGTAAACTTGCAACCACATATGTATACTTGCAATCACCATTCTTGCATGAGATTAGGCTAGGTCAGGAAGGCATGCAATCGCACGCCATTATATGACAACATTAAGATTAATTTTGTTTTGACAATTTGATCACAGTTGTTAACATGTTTTTAGAATTTAAACAATTCAAAAATAAGTTGAAAACTTAAAAAAAAAAACTAGTTAAAATTAAGTTTTTAATTATGTTAAGGAATGAACACTTGGGAAGGCTAATCAAAAAAACTTAAAGAACATGAAATATCTCAAGTTCTTTAAACACTGGATGACATTACAAAGAGGTTAACTAATATTTATTTTAATTTATTGTTTTAATACTTTTTTTTTTTTTTCCATAATTTTTTAAATGCAGGCATAGCAAATCAAGCTACCATAGACAAGCAACAGCAAAAGTTGCTTCATAAAGAGCGGATATTTTGGAGGGCTCTGTTAAAAAAGATAATGAACATTATCTTATTTCTTACTGCAAGCAATCTTGCATTCCGTGGTTCAGACTTACCCATTGGTTCAAAGAGTAACAAAAACTTTTTTGTTGTGTTTGAATTACTGGCTAAGAACGATACCTTTCCCAATGCGCTTATGCAAAGAATTTAGAACAAAAAAACCAAGGAGAACAATTTGAGTAATGACTCACACAACGAGTTAATTAGACTTTCAGCTAAGGAGATTGAATCCAAAAACCTTTCTATAGAAAAAAAGGTAAAACACTATTCTACTATTTTAGATTGTACACCAGATGTTTTGCACAAAGAACAAATAAGCATTATTCTGCAATCAGTAACATGCACTTATGGAGTAGGAATCGACATTTCTGAAAATTTCTTCAGATATCTCATAGTAAATCATTCGACTAGAAAAGGGCTTTTGGATGCATTTTTAAATCAGGCAAAAAACTGAGATCTAAATATTTTAGACTGTCAAGGTCAATCTTATGATAATGGTGCAAATAGGAAAGATAAAGTAAAAGGTGTTCAAGCTAGGTTTTTGGAAATGAATCCTAAGGCCATATATGTTCCTTGTGCAAACCATTCACTCAATCTTGTTATTGTTGATGGGACACTGTGATCCATCAGTGCAATTTTTTTGGTGTCCTTTCAAGATTATATACACTCTTTTTATCATCTCCTTGATGGGAAATTTTAAATTTGTGTGTGGCAATATCTGTCAAACCACAATCATATGCCAGATGGGAAAGTAGAATAAAATAGGGTTGTTCGTTGAAAAACAAAACTTGCGAAGATTTCGCATCTTTATCTACCAAGTTAAGTTGCACATGCGAAAATGCACATTTTGTAAAGTAATATACGAAAATATAAATAAATAAAATTCCGTAATAAAGCATTGTGAAAGAAAACTTGCGGAACAAATCATTTTGTAAGAATATTTATGAAATAGTTCCTTACGAAAGGAGCATTCCGGAATGTGCAGTTACTAAAAAGACGCAAAAGATTTTATGTTAAGATATATTTAAGATATTAACTCTTAACAGTTTAAAAAATAACTAATAAAATTATAAAAAAATGTTATCAAATGATTCTTCAAATGTTTATACAAATATTCCTAATATATACATATATACATACATACATATATATATATATATATATATATATATATATATATATATATATATATATATATATATATATATATATATATATATATATATATATATATATACATACATATATATACAGTAAAATCCCGTTAAGTTGGACTCTCAATGAACAGATAAATAGTACAACTTAGGGAATGTCCGAGTTAAACATAGCTCTTGGTATTTATAGAACGTTCAAGGAAAATTGAAAAACTTTCCAACTTAATAAAAGGGGCTGTCCATAATTGATGTCTGATTTTTCTTAATTTTTAACCCCCCTCCCTTCTTTGTCAAACTCTGTCAATTTTTCGCAAAACCCCCCTTATATATGATACCAGATTTTGTCCCCCCCCCTCCTTCCTCTTTCAAGTAACATTTAAAATATGTGCAAGCACCATTAATTTTTTCATATTATATTATAGAACAGTTGATACCTCATCAAATAGTAAACAAACTATTGAAAATTTTATTCTATATCTATTATATAAATTCAATCACTCATCGTCTTTCATGAAGTGTTCTTCGATAATAATGACAAATGACTTTATGTGTTTGCTTTAAAGCACATTTTAAAATCCGCTGGGATCGAATAATGATTGTTAAATTTATATACAAATTGTTGATATTTGTAAACAGTTAGATTTTCAGTCAAATGGTAATACAATAGTAAAATTTTTGTAAATTTTTAATTTATATTATGTCTCTAGGAAACTAACATCAAATTCCCCACAAAGCAAATATGCTATTTCTATACCACATGTATGTAAATACCTTGTATTTACATCTACAATGTTAACAATTCATAACTGGACTCGAAAACTAGTTACTTTAATGGAACACAATAGGCCGTAGGAGCCTCAGGGAAGAAAGAGAAAAGATTATATTAGAGTCAGCATTAAAATATAGATTTTAAAAGATGTTGGACAGATGTCCAGTGAAAAAGCACAAACTTCTAGCAAAGTACTTTATATTAAAATTTAAAAATTGTTTACGTATATTTCACAAGTAAATAAGTAAAACTAAAAAGTAAGGGAGAGCGTGCAATAAAATATAAAAGAAGAAAAGTAATGACTATTACGCGAGTGACTTTGATAGACATATGTATGTGTATGCCTTTCTTTTTAGAAAGTATAAAGGGGATGTGTGATAAACAATTAAATACTTTATTATAAAGAACAAGAGATCTATCTAAAGGTAAATGATATCAAGAAAGATTATAAAGAGAAGAAATATATGTGATACAGCGGGGTGCAAACCTCGGTCTATTTATTTATTATATAATTAAGAAACTATATAAAATAGAATTTACAGAATGAGATACGTATGCAAATAGAATTCTATAAATCAGGAGAATGAATAGTTATGTGAACCTTTAGTTGCTTATAATTCATAACTGGACTCGAAAACTAGTTACTTTTTTACTAATGGAACACAATAGGCTGTAGGAGCCTAAGGGAAGAAGGAGAAAAGATTATATTAGACTCAGAGTTAGCTAGAAATTATTACAAAGTGTTTAGGACAGATGTCTAGTACAAAAAGCACAAGATTGAAAGCAAAATGATTTAAATTATTTGAAAAAGTTGTTTTACGTACATTTCATTATAATTTAAGTAGAACTTAGTAAAGCAAGGGAACCGCATAGAATTAAGCACAATGAACTCAATCTTAAAAGAATAACTAACAGAAGAGAGGTTGTTACTATTATGAAGTTGATGAAAAATCTGTAATATAGAACATGGAGGTCAAAAAATCTTAAGTAAAAAAAGAGTTTGATGAAAAAAAGTCGCAACGGCAGTGGGATGCGAAACCGGATCTCTATAGCGAAATACCAGGTACCTAACTGATTGAGCTAAACGATCTTATGCATTAGCAAAACATTTAAATTTATATGTTATTAAAATTAAAAAGCAATATTTTCTAAGTTCTATACTTAGAGAAGCGTATTTAAACAGGACTCTACATACCTTTAAAATCTGCTCTAACTTAAATTTTTTTTTCTTAAATGGACATCATGTTGGTCTTAACACCCCCTCGCCATTGTCAATTCTTGTCAAACTTTTCAGTACCCTCTCCCCCTTATATTTACTGACATCATTTATGGATAGCCCCAAAGTCCTACTTTTCCAGGGACCGAGATAACGGAATTCTACTGTATATACTCATTTTTTTTTATAAGCATAACGCTTATAGGCTCAGATTTGGAAAAAAAATAAGCATATGTAAGCATATTCCTGAGCCTTGATAAACCATTTAAAAAATTTTATTTTTATTTAATTAAAAATTTTAAATATATATATTTCTAAATTTAAACTAACAAAAACCGAAGTTTATAACAACATAAATTAAGCTACATTAAAACCAAAACAAAAATACAGAGCATAAGTCAACTTTTTATTTTTCTTATACCCATTAACCTTTAGTAACGTGCACACTTTTAGAAATTATTGAAATAGGTATATTTTATTAGAAATATGCTTAAGCTTAAGCATATTTTTGAGTCTCTTTCACTATTTGCTTAAGGATATTCAAACCTGTTTCCAAAATTTCATATGCTTTAAAAAAAAAAACATGTATATTCCTACCCATCATTCTTATTTTTACTATATGTAATGAGTTCAAAAAACATCGTTATATATATTTATTATGGCACGTTTCATAAGTTTATTTCCGTTAAGAACTCTTTCGCATGTTGTGATGCAAAATACTTTCGTTTCGAAAGAAATTTTAATTTTTATCAATATTTCTAAAAATAAAACCATAAAAAATTTAATATGTTATTATACTGAAAATAAAAATTCATTATAAACATTTTGGGATTTAAAGATGTTAATTTTCAAAATTAAAATCAGTCTGGCAAGCAAATTTTCTCTATAGACTTCAAAACGTTGTTAGGCAAAAATGTTTGTTTCGCAAGTGCGATATCCGAAACCGCTACTTTCGTATGTTGCAAAATAGTTTTGCTTCGTATGCCAACTTGCGAAATGCTGAATTTCAGAAGTAGCTTGTGTAAAATGAACATCGGCGATTTTAAATGTTTTGTAACATTTGGTACGAAAAAATTTAATTCCTCGTTCTCAATCTCCTTACGAAAGAATGTTGTTTTTCCGGATTTGCACGAAATCCTCTAATTAACAACCCTAGAATAAACTGTGTTAAACCACTTCACTATTATTTAAAAGAAATCTTACAGGTACTTGACAGATTGGAAGAACATGCTTTAGAAAAGAGAGATAGAACAACAGCCACAGAAGTATGATCGCTGACGGAATATTTTAGAACATGGACTTTCTTATTATCAACCATTATTTAGTATGATGTTCTATTTCAAATCAACAAATCAAGTAGGCTTCTTTAGTCTTCTGCAACCTCTATCGACATAATGGCTAGTGAAATAAAGGCAACAAATGCATTTCTTTATGAGTATAGCAAAAATAGATTTACTGATGCACATTAAGGCATAAGAAATCACAGAAGTATTGGGCATTGAAAAGGTTCATCAGAGAGTTTACAAAAAAAAAAGTTTGATTTATTAATACAAGTTTGTTGATCACAACCTGAACATCAGTATAAAGCAGATATTTTTTTGCCACTAATTGATATGTCAATTGCATAAGTAAAAGAGCCTTTTGAACAGATCAAAGCCTGTAATGATAATTCTCTGTCTGTATATTGCAAAAGTTTGCAAATGAAGCTTGGTGATATAAATTCTGAGGATTTGGAAATTGTATTAAAACAATTTGTCATATTTATAAAGAACTAAAAAAATACTCTCCTAAAATCTGCACATGACTTCCTTCATCTACATATACAAAAAAAGAGGTAGTTTAGGAAGCATTACTGAAGCTTCGTTCTGTTGCAAGTGCAGAACGTAGCTTCAGCAAGGCAAAATTAATTAAAAATTTTCATAGATTAGTATAAATAATCTTGCTTCATTATACATAAATGCATGTAGCTATATTTCTTTGTATCTTTAAATAGCTCAACAATGGCTGATGAATTTTTGATGGTTTGTAACATACTTGTATTATCAGTGTAATACATTTGTGTAGTGTAGTTAAAGAAACTCTTGACTAGTAAACTCTATATCAATTTAACAATTATAAAATATATTTAATCAAATTAAAGCGTTAATTTGATTATCTTTAGCCTTATGAACGGCAACGTAAAATATGTTAGATATCCAGCTATTTTGGTGTAATATGTAAACTTTATCCACTTTTTTAGAAAATAAATAAAAATTTGGGGTCCTGATGGCAAGTTTTGGGGAGGCCTCGGACCCACTTGTCATGGCATTGCCTATTTTATAATCTCAACTAAAAATTGACTGTTTAAATTTTTATCATAATAACTGAAAAATTCAATTTAAACCAAAACATTGTAATGCATTTTTATTTAATATAAAAGACAAATTTTAAAAACCTAAAAATAAATTATGGATTTTAATTCTAACAACATACTTAGACACATTTTTAAAAAGTTAATTGTTACACTATATAAATGTAAATAATAGATCCTTGCTTAAAAAACTTAACAGCTAAGAAAATAACTTAAATATATATTAAAATGATTTAATATGAATTAAATATATAACTTTCATTATAGCCTTAGTATATAACTAGTATATATAGTCTAGAAACTAGAACTTAGATGAGATCATGCACATTTAGCACAAACAAAAATGATGAACACTGTTCATGAAACAGAGGTAACAAAAACATTTCCTCTAAATTATAATAGAATTTTTTTTTTTAGTAATGTATTGGGATACATGCTTAAACATTATAATATCAATGATAAAGAAGGCACCACTTAGATAAACAAAGACAAGATTTGCTTTACTTCAAAACTTAAAAAAAAAGTACAACTTTTGCTAAGGTTTTAGAAAGAACTTAGAGTATCAAAAAAATGTTTTGTAAAATCTTTGTTAAAATTTTTTTCAGCTTTTCCATCAAATGAATTACATTTTTTTACTAGAGACTAATCTACTTGATTTTAAACATTCAAATTCAGCCTAACACGATGAAGAATAACCTTTGCTTTATTTTATTTTTTACTAAATTATTCGTCAATATATATACATATATATATATATATATATATATATATATATATATATATATATATATATATATATATATATATATATATATATATATATATATATATATATATATATATATATATATATATAAACTATATACAACTTTTATTAATACTTTAAACAAAAATAAGTTTTATTTAAAATATTAACTAAAAATTTTATTTACATTAGTAAAAGCAAAATCTTTTTTTATTTAGCACCTTTTTTAAATTAAAGACAAATCCTTGTCAAAATATTGTGGTCATTAAAAATTAAATTTAATAAAGTATTAAGGTCCTATATGGAAATACGTACTCCCGAAGTCTTTAAATTCTAATTTAATTAGATAAAAACAATTTTTCATGTGGAAGTTGTATGAGGTACAAAATAACATTAGAGTAAATGAAGAGGTGGTAAAGTGTTCCAAAATCAAAGTGCCTGACAAAAACAAGCTATTGCTTAAAATGTTTCCTACTGAATTTATAAAGGTTTGATTATAAAAGATAGACAATTTGAGGATTGATACAGTTCTTAAAAACTTTCATTGTTAATTTCATTTTTCTTTAACAGTAATTTCTCTTTTAAATTTAATTTACACCAAAACAAGCCTAATATCTAGAAAGATAAAAATAATTCAATTCTTGAACTTAAATCATAAAAAGTTCATCAAAAACACTAGATTAAATCAAAAACACAATATAACACTTAAAAACTGACACACACTGTTCATTTCCTCTAATTAACAAAATGTGGATAAAAGCTAATGCTTAAACCATGAGATTACACTATCACATAACCAAAGATTTACGAGTTTTCATAAAGTTATTTTGTTTTTATTACAGACAACTTCAAACTTATGAACATGTAATAAATTAGAAATATAATTACCTAATTCAAAAAGCTGACTAAAAATTGTAGGCTCAATGTAAAGCTTTATTTTAATCTTCAAGATAAATTGGCATCTCTTTTTTTTCTTTTTTAATAGTACATTTTTTACCTGCTTAATTATTTTAAAAGTTAAACTGCTAAGCCAAAGTTTTTTTTTGCTTAAATGTCTGGTGTGACAATGGTTACCTTAAAAAAATTTTTCCATGAAGATAAATAAACTTGTTGTCTTAATCGTGAAAAATTTTTTTATTAAAGGAAAAACAAGGAACAATAATTTAAAAACCATTAAACACACATTAACTACTTTAGCTCTTAATTCACCACAAGATTTTTCCCTTTCTAAGTTTATGCAGATTTCTTCTACACTAAAAGCCAAAAACTAACAGAAATAAATAATCATTATTAATTAAAAAATATCAAATTACTAAAGTTGGTTAAGCAAACGTAGTAAAAATATTAATAGTAATATTTTTATAATAATAATTTTTATAATAGTAATATTTTGCTGCAATAGCAACAATATGTCTATTATTAGCAACAACACTATTTTAAAAATGTAAAAAGTATAGTTGATTTCTTCGTAAGTTGTAAAAATCACAAGCACTTACATTTTTTTTATAATACTGGAGCAAACCAAGCACTTTCCAATCAATTTCTTGAACATATATTTTTGACATAAATAATTTTAAAAAATTGATTCATGAATATCTAGTAGAATATCTAGAAATTTGACCCCTGATCACAATTGTTCTTTTCTGATTAGCAGTGAAAATTCATGCTCATTATAAGAGAGCATTTTTAAAAATCTATAATGTAATGAATGGTATTGAAGTCATTTAGAGATCCTCTGAATGTCAATTTAAAATCTGATAAGTAAAATTTTGTGTTAACAAAAGAAATTAATCTGTAAAACCCCAGTTTTATTGCCAATAAAAGTTATTTAACTGTGTCCTACACAAAAAGACCAGATCCTAGATCTTACATAAAAATGCAATGCTTCAAAAGTTAAATAAATAATCTACTTAAAAAACTTATAAATATAAATTAGGGGTTAGATTTTACCTTGATTACATTTTTAACCAACTTAGAATTACATGTTGGATGTAATTTTAAATTGCAGATATAGCAATTTAAATAAACCACATAAAAAAAAGTACTTTACAGATGCTTTGACATTTACTTAAGCTATTAATGCCCTTATTATTACAAACCAATTAAGACTTCAAAAAATAATAAATGCTTTAAAAAAGAAACCTAATATAAGCAGGGACAACTGCATGATTTTTAATCTTAAAACAAAGTGCACATTATCTTAAAATTTTTTTTTTTTAAAAAACTGTAACTGTGTAATTAAAAATAATAATCTAAAAAAAAAATCAATAAAACTTTAAAAAATTAACAACCTCCATTATCCAAAAGCACTTTTGCCATTTCTTTACAATTAAGTGCTGCTGCCAAATGAAGAGGACTTCGACCATACTTATCTTGCACATTTACATCAATGTTGTTGTGAATGGCAAACAATGCTACATCTGGGTGCCAATCTCTGACAATGGCATGCAAAATTGTTTGCCCATATTCATCTCTGCAATTTATGTCACAACCAGAATCTATTAAAGACTGCACGAAGTCCAGATCTATTTCTTGTTTATCATACTGATCAGTAAATTTCCAAAAATATATTAACAAACCAAACTCAACTGATTTCATTTTAGTTGGTTCGACTGAAAGTTTTGCTGGTTTGCTTTCATCAAGGTATGATAACCGAGATTTAGAAATAAAACTTGGACCAATTCGATATTCTCCAGTGTTATCATAGCGCCTAGTTCTTTGATACTTTACGTTAAGAGAAATTTTTTCAGTGTTTTTATTAGTGTTTGTTAAAATTGCTCTTAGCCTTTCATCTTGGAGCTTTTCATTCAGTTTTTGTTCTTTCAAAGATTTTATATTAGAGATGCTTTCTTCTGGATCACTTACATCATAAAAATCCAATTGATTATTTTCAATAACACTGTCACTTACACTAGAATCATTTCCTTCTTGAATTAAATTTTCTGGTATATTTTTAAGTTCATCTTCAATATTTAAATTTACAAATGTATCAGATTCAATTGCACCTTTTTTTTTAGAAGATTTATTTTTACTCCTTTTTTTCCCCATTTTTTTTACTTTGTACTATATTAGGAATAAATCAAAAATTTTATAGCTTAGATTTTATCTAAATAGTCTATTTAAAACTTCATCAATCATTTTATCAGACTTTTATAAGTATGAGTATATATATATATATATATATATATATATATATATATATATATATATATATATATATATATATATATATATACAATTAGTATTGCGTACTAAGGTAAGCAATCTGACGTCATACTGAAATTGCCTGCTGCTGGGGGCTTAAGTACATACATCAACTGACAAATAGCCTGACTCGCAGTGGAATGCTGCTACATCGAATGAGGGTTTGAGATGGGGCAGCAATTGTTTCATTCATCATTCTTCGTTTTTTTTCTTCTTTTTCTAAAAAAGCCGTATGGATAAAGTTAAGCAAATAAAGTGAGCAAATGCTTATAAAAATACGCTTTAGTAAGTGTGTGTATACATATATATATATATATATTATATATATATATATATATATATATATATATATATATATATATATATATATATATATATATATATATATATATATATATATATATATATATATATATACTATAGCAGCCAAAAGTCATGGTTACAGTGGTTTTTAACTACAGTTTTACCAGTTTTAATTGAAAACAACTTCCATAGATTGATATTTATTACCTAAAACATCAAAGATTGACAAGAATAACAAAATAAATTCATATTTACATAAAATTCACACAAAATTTTAATATTTAGTGTGTCCACCATGCACGCGAAGGCAGGCTCTAATACGGCGCGGCATTGATTCTATCAGATTTCGAATCTGAGTAACTGAAATCTGCGACCACGCTCCTTCAAGCAACTGCCAAAGCTGGTCAAAAGTGCTTGGTTTTGAATCCTGCACCTTTCTGAAGAGGATTTCCCACATATGTTCTATGGGGTTGAGGTCTGGGCTTTGAGCAGGCCAGTCCATCACCTGTACATTCTCATGCCTCAAAAAATCAGACACTGTCATCGCCTTATGACAAGGTGCATTGTCATGTTGAAATACAAACCTCCTGTTCGCACCAAAAATGGTTCTAGCAGAAGGCAGC